AAGTATTTGGGTTTAAGTTACACAAATATCCTTGATCGTCCGCCACACGCTGACAGAATTACGGCTAAGGCTGCCCAGATTTTTGGCCTTATTTCTTACAATTTTTATCTTCCTCAAAGTAAATTCAGACATTATCCTATGTCTGTACTTCCCGTTCTCGAGTATTGTTGCCCATTCTTTGTTTTGGTGAACAAGGCTAGGCGTTCAAAAGTTGTAAATGTTCAAAGACGTTTTACTAGAAGGATTTTAGGCACGGAACATTCAAATATCTCCTACTCAGATAGAGGCTAGTTAACTAACCTAAAATTTATATGGGTCCGAAGACTAGAAGCAGGCTTCTGTCTCCTCTTTCTCATTGATAATAGCTCAAATCTTCCTCGGATTTCAGCACTTACCCCTAGTAGTCACCCATACAATCTTCGCAATTCTTCCTTGAGTATTCCGCCTCCAGCTTCCTCCACCTATAAGCGTTCTCCTTTTTTCGCTTCCAGGTATACTTTCCTCTTGAATAACCTCCCGATAAATATAAGATCTTCAGATAACCTGCACACTTTTAAGAGAAGGCTGTGCCTTTATCTGAATACTAACTCGATTAAACTTTTATTTTCCTCATCCTCCACGGACAACGTTTTCTATGACGCCGAGACAGGGCCACGGGGATTTAAGACGCCGCCCTTAAATTTTCGTTTCCGCTCAGATTTCCTTCTTTTGTCTGCGGCGTGGCTTCCTGGGATCCCTCATCAGACATGTTTATTTTTAGATTTTTCAGTTCATGCATCGTGCCCCTCACACAATGCGCTCTATTGACGCTCTTGGCGGAACCCTCTGTATTCGCGATATACTAGTAGTCTGGTCGCATCTCCCTTGCCCCTCCTCGGCTGGACTCGGCTGACTGTAACCGATCGCATCTGGGTTCCTACCGCCTCGAGACCGGTTTTCCGTTCGCCACTTTGACATGAATGGCCTCATCCGACATATGAATTCTGCATTGATGATGCCCGTCTCGAACCTTTTACTCAATACCACAAACAGGCCGGTCCTGCCTGACCCGCCTACTTACCCCTTCATGAAATCCGTTATACACTGCCACATACAGGCCGGTCCTGTCTGCTTTTTATGCATTCGGGAGCGAGAGATTTTCTCATAGAGTTAATCCAGACATAGTCATTTTTTATAGGTTAGGAGTTTTTTTCACTGCTCGCTCAATATTATTCGTAACATACTACTTATTCAATGACTATGAATTAAGTATTGTATAGATTTTGCATACCTGTTCTAAAATGCATGCAAAGATGTTCTAACTTGCTATGAACGGACCCCCCATGGGTCTTGAATAAAAATGATCATTATTATTAGTACTACATGGGACAGAATCCTGGACAATGTGCGAGAACTAGGCGATGAAGCCCGACCATTCGAACTCAGCTGCCTACACAGGACACTGCAGCTGAGGTGGTAAGACAATTCTCACCCTGGGAAGTCCTGGAACAAATTGGAATCCTCAACATCGAAATTATAATGCAGCAAATCTGACTTCGATGGAACGGCTGTGTCGTGCATATGGACTACGAGCGCCCACCCGAGCAGCTATTCTGCAGCAACGTTGCCGCGCACGTTGGTCGATAGGCAGATCAGAAAATACACCAGAAGTACATCGGGGAACTCGCCCAGAATAGTCGGAAATTGAGAACATTGAAGATCGGAACAGCAATCAAGAAGGCCACCCGAAGCGCTGAGGCCGGATACAGATTACACCTCCACCACTGTTGCCACGACGTCGATGACTGTCACCAGTGACGAGCAAGCTCTCGATGATTTGCTGTCATCCTCTTCACCATAAGTGAAACAAGCTTCATGTCGACGTCAATGACGACCACGCTGACAACCGATGGCGGCTCTACCAACGCCCTATCATTCACCACGATCCCCACCACAAACGCCAAAGCTTATTCTTGCACCAAAAATCCGGACTCGATTCCAGTCCGCCTCCATTGTACTCACACCTGTAAATGGCGTATCGGCCCGGTCGGCCACTTCCAAATCCATCAAAATGCAACTGGGGGACCAGTGTCAGGATAATCGACGTGCCCCGGTCTCACACACCTTGACCCACGGACATCCAACAATTACATAATAATGATTTTTTAATTATAATTTTTATTAATGACCCGTGGGGGGTCCTTTCGTAGCAAGAAAATCTGCGGTAAAACGCTGCAGGTCAAACCCCATCGCTCTCATCTCTCAGCCCATGCACCACCAGACCGGTGGCACTTCAGAAGAAAAAGATGCGACCGATGGAATAAGAAGTTTGCTGAGGCGACATTTCGGATTTTCGATCGAAACCGTCATCACTGACAGTCGTAGAAAAGGAGTAGTAGGGCACAAGGTCAACGGCATATATAGAGCGTGATTGCCAAGCATCGACAATCCTACTATGTCTGGCAGCACTTAAGTTCACCGTTGGGGGTTGTAGTTGATGCGATGACTGATTGTTGGTCAGTACCCGAGTCCGTATTTGCCGCGCTTCCACTCCCGTTGACGTTTCTTGGAGTAAAAATTACTCGGCCATTTTGCTCGCTGCCACCGTAATTAATGATCGCCCGCACCCTCCTCACACGGTTAGTTATTTCACCTAGGCAAAATTGCAGCAGAAGCATGTTTCTTGCTGTGTTATGGCCAACAGGTCATCTTTTTTGCGCACGTAGATGAGGAGTCACAGCTCTGCGGCCACTGTGCTCGATACCAGCACCAGATGAGTGGCGGGCTCTGGTAGTCAACGAGCAACGGAAGGGAGAGCGAGGCAGACTCTGGGGACTTCATCCCAATAACAGTTCAGCGCATCTTTCATAATAATGACTCTGATGCCCTTGAATCTATCATGATATGCCAAATGTCGTTACCCCGAAGATCCACAACAAACACGATAATTCGATTCTTGCTGTCAGTCCTCCATCGCATGTGTGTGTACTGCCTTACTGCTGGACTGGGAATCTAAAACAATGTCGCCTATGGGATTACACTCACTTGGGACCCGAACTTCCTCACTGCTTCTGCGATCCATTCGTTATATTAGCCCCTGAAGGCTAGCCCGCCCCCGCTCGCCCTGACACTGTCTTCTCACCGAGTCCAGGCTGGTGAGGGGGGGGGGGGAAAGGGAGTGCGGCAAAAGAAACGTAAGCCTTCTATCACTGTGTGGCAATTCACACGCAGGTAACCATCCGGCGCCCATCAGGCCGCAAGGCATACCATGGACGCCATCGTAGAGAAGATCGAAATGACACATACTTGTTTTCCTCAGTTTTGCGTATTTTGGCAGTCATACCCGTTTTCAGTTTCCGGCCCATTTTTCTATTTGCTCGGCTTGACCTTCATATTCCCACAGATTCTCGTTTAAAACTTGCGCCCTCACCTGTAGATGTCATACTGTAGAGGAGGAAGACGCTGAGGTTATCGAACACACGGAAAAGCGAGCACCTGAACTCATTCCACAGTCCGTCGAAATGCTGAAGAGAATTGTGGGCGCCACGCCTGACGTTCGTATGCAGGAGTTATGTGAACAAGTATTCGACATGCATGAAAACTATACGATGGCAATAAGCTTATAACTATGGAATAAGGGTACAGTATTAAATGAGAAAGAGTGTGACGTACGTAATACTCCATCTGGAATGGGGAGCATTCTGTCACATCTGTTAGATTGCGGTGGGGAATTCTGCACTGGAGAGAACTGCAGAAGAAATACTCAGGGACTCTTGCTGTGTGTGCATGTGTATGAGAGAGGAACAGTCTGCGGAACGATAAATTCGGAGGCAGGGGTCAATAATTAAAAATGGACAAGGCACCGGCACCGTAACTGACACTCCATCACACCGTTTTCATCCAGGGTCTGTGCCTATGTGCTGTCTTTCACCTTGTTTTAACAACTCACGCAAGAGGTGCTATAATAAACATATTCTGGCCTACTAAATCTGATGGTTATATAACGGGTCAGGAAGTGTGTAGAGTTTTTCGAATGTTGTGAACGCTTTCGGTGTAGGATCTAGGATAGACATGGTGTTACAATGTGTCGTCAAAAATAGCTGGCACCCTTCCACCTCTACGTATACCTCTCCCTCTATCTCCACTTTGGCACCTCTCATGGCCCTGCCTGCAGTTGCCCACAGCATAGCACTCCCCACCGGTTGTCAATCAGACTCGTTGACGTCACGTTTCCATCCAGACGGACTATCCTACCTGCTGCGCCTCTCATTCCTCCGTATACTATTTGTCAATTCATTATATCACCTCGGAATGCACACCACGTCAGTTATTCAATATACTTCGTACTGACAGAATTTTATTGCCGAAGAATACAAGGGAAACCGGAATGGCCGTTCCTGGCTCATTAACCGTCGTCAGCCAGCCATACTCAACACCGAAGTGTGGAGCACCTGGGGCTCGATCCCGCGACCTATTGGTTAGAAGTCCAGCACGTAAAACCACTGAGCCACGGGTTCGTTGTCCTGCCAGTTTCGATCAGGAATATACAATGGTAGAGGGGGCGCTCGCCGATCGTGCTTCCGGAAATCACTCGCTCCGTAGGAGCGATCGGTGGTCGCCCCTCTACCATTGTATATTTCGTACTGTTTAACGTTCCCATTCTCATTACCCAAATAAAAATGACAAAACGTTTAACAACCCTTAAACTCAATCTAACACAGGATTCATTTCGGTGCTTCCCTGACTCTGTGTGTGATCTTCTCGACACTATGGCCTGTCCCGATATTATTCGGCTTACGTGCCAACGTCACCCCGCTTTGTTTTAGCCCATGCTTCAACCGTTCGTTACAATACAGTATTTTGTATTTTTCTGCACAGCTCATTTTAAAATTGTTCGACTTCTCGAATAAGTACAGTCAACTACTTTCTAGACAACGACACCGATTTTAATACGCTGTAATATAAGCGGCAAATGTGATGCTTAACTAACTTACTGGCGCTGTCCCGCCTCGACAGGTGTGATGTCATTTTTCAGAGTCCAGGTTTGTTTACCTTGTTTTTGATACCTATCGTATAGAAATGGCGGACCTTTGCACGCCAGTGGTATCTTTATGATGCGTATATGCAGTGCCCCATGTTGTCCGGTGAGAAAATTGCAGCTTATCTCAAGGGGACCCATAAGCGTATCTACGACCCAAGAGGCGACGTCGGAGACAGTGTTATAGTTTTTAATAGCCGAAATATTGCTGCAAAAGACAACAGTTCGTACTGGAGACGTTTCCTGTACACCACGCACACACGGTACTTTTCTGTACACATGTGTATTTTTGGTTTTCCAGGTTTGGTCCCTTCCGTGTTGAAGACACCATGGCTGAGTTGCACAAACGCGATCCGACCGAAGTTAGTCTGTTGTACTACAGGACTTTTTATTACCTAATACTTATATAACGCCGTTTTGTCGACGTCTGTTGCATTCTATACAGAATGCGCACCTGCGCTAAGCCTCTAATAGATAGCGCATTTCCCGATCCAGAATTGCGCATCTTTTTTAAAAGTCGTAACAATCTTAATCAGGAAATGTCTCTGGATGTGCCGACAAAACTGCCACCAGGCGCATTAGGACTGTCCCGGCCTCTGTTTCAATGGGTGGTTAAACTAATCAAACCACTGTTTTCAGGTCTTAGGATATTATTTTTGTGCATTATTTACTTTTCTGAAACTATAGTTGGGCTGTTCGTACATCCTCTTGCTGTGGGGTTTTCTGCTTAGACTTGGATTCTAATCTCTGCTGCTGTTAGTTTCCACGGAGTCTCCGAATAGTCAATATATCGTCTTCTATTTCCTGGTCCCGAGGCACTGTGTGAAATCAAGAATCGCACCGTGCTGTCTGTGTCCGTATGTGCATTTTCGCGGTTCAAATAGCTGCTTAGGTCCACCTGCTACTTCATGACCCAATAAGTCCTGCGCTACGCTGATAACCGCCAGCGTCGTCGTTAACTAAGTGTGGGAAAAGTACTCTACCTCCGCGCGGGCATTTTAAACCACTTCTAGTCAAGCTGGTGCAGACGCGAGTAATACTTGCCTTTGGGCAAGTAGCTATTTTCCCTTTGACTGCAAAAATCCTGAGGCGAATGCTCTGCGTGAATATACGCATACTTTGCCGTAAGGTTTTGAGCTAATTTCAGACGTCAAATCTTCACGCACTTAAAAAATGCCCTCTAAGTGTGGCTTCCTCGACTTGCCCAACGAATAAATAATTTTGTTGATTTGTCCTATGATTACTTGCCTGATATAGTTTTCACCAATAAGAACTAGACAATGCACTTTGCAAACTGCTATCGACTACATTTCCGGTAGGCATTTCTCATTAGAGATAATGAAGGTCCAGACACAAAGCACGAATTTGCACACGGTGTTTCCAATGAAAATTGCAAATTACATATCGTATTTTAGGTGATCAGACGGGAAATTCGTGTCCATCTGCCCAACCGTGTAGCCAGACCCGACTGGCTCGCGCGCCTCCATATTTTCCCCGACGGTATTGAAGTGAGTCACTGAGCCTTACGATTTTCCTGCGGTCGTACCCAAAATTCATTATCTTCACGTCGCACGGAGCACCTTTGTCTCTTTTAAGGCTTGCTTTTTCCACCGAATATAATACAATGATAAGGTCAGTAGCACAGTCACATACCACACAATGCTCGTTTATTTGCAGCTGGCTGGAAACGCATAACAAACTGGAGCCCCTATGGGGTCACCCATTTCTAGCTTCCTAGCTGAGATCTCCAGTCGCTTTGTTTGACGACGGTTTGGTGTCACCAGCTTAAAAATGCATAGTACAACTCGGCGTTATTCCAAAAAGCCTCATCTTTTTCGTGCATACTCGGGCGGTAGTGAGCAACTTCATAGGCCTCTGGGCGATGAACTACGGTCGACCTAGTTGTCGACTATGTGCGGGGACGTGTGGGAGCACACCTTGTTGTCTCATTGCTGGCTCATTCTCGCGCATCTCATGTCAGTCATATCGCAATAGCAGCAGGGCACCAATTCTCAAAAATCGTCTTTCCGCATATTTCCATTCAGACCGTGCCAGAGGAGCTGTTGAAGAACGTTTCTGGAGTGATCCGCCAGGTCATGCCCGTCCCCAAACGTCTGGACTCCTACACAGCGGAAGAAATAGAGAACTATCCTAAGCTGTTTGATTGGTATGTTCACCAGCGTACTTACATTTATTATAGTCCCTTCTCATTTTATTCGGTGCGCCTGCTGTAGAAACGTGGATCTGTAGCCTGTGTGAATGCGCTAATGAACGGCATAACCTTAATCAATACAAGCAATACTCTGACCTCTAAATTGACCTTCCAAGCAAGAGCTAACGTCGCGGTAACTAAGGGAACTATGATATTAAAGGATAAGTTTTGGGCGATAATTTATCCTGAAATATAGAATTGACTTAGTTGGGAAACTTAGAAATCTGGGCTAAATGCAAGGAATTACCTAGAATGCCGGGACGGTGGCACCAAATAGTCCGCCTCGGACCTCAACCTCGACTCGTTTCCGAGACTAGACAACAAACTGACGACTCCACGAAATATTTGGAAAATTTCTTATCGCCAGTTCGCTTGCCTTATGACAAGCTATTCCGTGGTGACTGGTTCACCAAATGATGAATTAGGCCTCACACTATACAATTTAAATTCAAAAGCACCAATAAATTTGTTGTAGTCCTGTCCTTTTATCAGAACGCAAGTCCTAATTGCATCTACCTTTCGATTTTCAGGCCAGATGACTATGCTGTTAGTCGGTTGAGTCCCCTTACGAAGCCACGTCCACGAGCTGGAAAGACTCCCAAATAGGCTTCCCCACTCTTATACGAATGTACATTTTTTCCTGTGTGCAATGTCTTTTCAGTAATTACAAGGGGAAGTTTGCGCGAAATGTCTGCAAGTAAAGCCAATTTGGAGCTGGATTTTCTTGTAAGTGTCGACGGAATGTCCGCCAGCTAGAATCGCGGCTTTCCATACGACAACCCCCTTTAAACGTTGCTTCGAGTCATTAAGGAAGAAGTTTGAAGCCACCCAAATAAGATACCAGACGGCAGATCTAAGACGACGATTTGTGTCACCCAGAGATGATTAGGCATTCCACCCTAAAAGACATACTTAATATGTACAAAAAATTACTGACCTAAAAACAACTGGGAAATCGAAATCACCATAGAAAATAATGTTGACCACGGGTCCGTCCTTAGCTCATACAAAAGACGGCCCTTAGTAGCAACAGCAACATGCACGGAGAAGGAAAACTAGAAAGTAGCATTGTTAAAATGCACTTGGCGCTGTCTGAAAGGAGGAGGCAACAGGTTGTCGTCAAACGCTAGGATTCCGAGGAGAAGAGGATCGTGAATTCCTTGTAATCAGCCGTGTTGATTATCTTCGGCGGCCGGGTGCTGCAGCTTTTGAAGGCTTGAAGGAATCTTTGTTTGTTTTTGTCGTACAGGAGCTTTCGAAAACAGAAATATTAACTAAGTCTTAAGAAGCTTTGTCAATGGTAAGATTCTCCTGTTAAAGATACAATTAAAAGTGAACTAAATGTGCCCAGGTGCCAAAAGAAATAGACGATGATCTGTTGTCTAGAGCTTAACCTGTCATGACGGGAATTATGGCTTCTTTTCCTGCGTCAACAAACGTTTGCCCGTGGGGTATTGCCAGCCCTGACACGACTCGTCCTGTTGGGTATGTGGGTGAACGGCTGATTCGTGAGTCAGCAAAAACTCCAACTCTTATCAATGTCGCGGCAGAGTGCGCAGAGGCGTCTTACAGTTAATTCAAATTGTCCTGACGGCCAAAAGGATGATGAATTCTTTGCATGAAGGAGGGCGGTCTGTCAAGAGATTTTGCAATGCGATTTAAGGTGCCACCAAAAGTGCCATGCGTCCAATGTGCAGTTCCGTAACACAATGTGCCATGGTAGTGTCGCGTGTTTGGCTCGGCTTACTCAACATTCGCTGGCTGCAGGACCGTCAGAGCGTGGGTTCAAAGTGACTTGCGAGTTAACTATACCACAGCGTATTAATCATGTATCGGTAATATGTACTTGTGTATTCTGCAGTCCACACCGACTGACTGCTGATGGGGGTAACCGGGTTCCACCATCAAAGTAATTCTTGTGTTCACGGTCTATTGGGGAGTGACGAAAAGCCTAAGTATCATTATACCAGGTGGGCTTGTGCTAGAGTTTCTCCCATGGCGGGGAGTCACCGTACTTTCGGTAGTCACAATCTTCTAATCGTTCGGCTAGTCATCGTGTTTGAGTTACGAATTAAGGGAGCCACAGACCGTCTGCCACAAAAGTTTTAAAGACTGCATGTAGTACTGGGGAGGAAAGTGAGAACAATCACCAATACATGACGCAGCATTTAATAGGCAAGATTCAAATAAAATGTTACGAACCTCGTAACCGGTTATGGATTTTCGCATACGACATTTATTCGCAGTTGGCAGTGATTCCACATCGCGGAATTTGCGATGAGCTTTTATATTTTGCCACTGACGCATTTCGGAGAATTATGGTAATCGACCTCGCCGGCGGAGCGACACCAACACCACATACTATAAACAGGTTCACAGCATAAACTCGAGACAGACTCCAGCACGATTCGCGAAGCAGTCGACTCGCAAATCCGAATCCGTTCGGAGAGCGTTCACACAGTTTCGCCTGCGGGCCACCGGATGATTGTCGTGAAGGCTGACAAAAGTTAATGTTTGCTGCCTTCCAGTAAACCGTTGTCTCTGTTTTTCGCCAGGGGCTTGCCTGATGAACGCACCGAGGAAGAGTAGCTGTTGCTCCCTTTCTACCATTCCTAGCACGTTATTACTGGCGTTGACGGACGCGACGTCGACGTAACGACGCCAGATCGATTCACGCAGGCTGAAGGCGGTTTTCGCTAGCTCCTGTTGGGCTGGTTTCGTTACTAAACAGAGGATTAGGGACCCCACTGGAATTAATTTGGCCTGATCATAGGCTTATTCAGCATAGTAAATGTTTTGCGGCCTAATTCGAAAGGCTCGTGGGATGCTCCACCTTGGGTGGGCTATGCATTTAGTTGCATGCACCTTCTAGTTTCTGGCCCAAAATTCGCGCGCCAATTTATATGGGCTGGATGTTGCTGCCTTGACACCGGAAGAAACAATCGTTTCGTCCGTCGGAATTTTCCGCTTTCGTGTATCTTTAATGGCCCTACTCCGGGCGCCAGTTGCAACACTGCGCCACTCGCGCGTCCCAATGGTAGTCTGGTTCTAGGCCAATTAGAGCGGCCAACCAACTTTAAAGCTGACTAAGACGTGCCCTTGCACAAGCCGTTCCAATGCCTGCCTCGGAGAGGCCGAGCGTGTGTCCTCGTCTTGCCGCCAGCTTGTTCCGACGTGTTCTGCATTGATTCTGCACAGAATACAATATTCTCTCAACTGGCGGGCAACTTCTTTTCCTATTCGGGACCGGGCCCGAGCGACGTAAAGGCTAGGGTCTGCCTATGATTTATGCTGCCGTTACAGGTCTGAAATGAGGAGAGAAGCTTACTATGCTAGGGTAGCAGAATTGTGTTGGAAACAACCACCACAACCCCCACTTCCGTCATCACTCAAGACGCTCCTGAAGGCCCGTCAACCACCAACCTCACCATCACTATCCTCACCTCCAGCGGTGTGGACTCAGTTCCAACCTGTCCTCATTGCGATCGCACATTCATCCCGCGCACCGGCCTGGTCAATCACCCTGCCATGTGCGTTTGGGAAACCGGGTCGTGCGCAGACGGCCTCCCCTGCTGTCAGCGACTACGGCCTACTTCCCATACCAGACATCTGACGGGCCCGGACAGTGCCTATGCTTGGACGTGGGAAGAAAAAATGAGGTCGATGACTTAGTGCATTTTCCTCATTATAAACAATCCAACGCGCTCGAATCTATCACGGTGTGCTAAAAGCCCTGGCTTGGAGGGCTGAAAACTAATGGATCTAGCAGTCCGCCCAGTGTGTGTGGAGTCGCTGACTGGTGGACTGAGAATCAAGCTACAAGTGCTTTTTAACGTGGTCTCTATGGCACTCCCACTCAATAGGGTCCGCGCTGGCGAGGTGGCACACTTAGGTCAATGACAAAAACTGGCGAATAAATTGCAGCAACTGGCGAATCCTACACGGACAGTCCGGCAATCGTCGCACCGAGTAAGGCCACAGTCGACGAATGCGGAGGTGGTTAAGTGTGAAAGTTGTGTGGTAGCATAGTAACAGCGCCCTATGAGTACAGTACCCCTTGCGTGTGCATCACCCTTATCTGCCGTTGTCTGTGATGATTGGTTCGAGTACGAAACGTCAAACGAACAACGCTTTTGTTCCAGGGAGGATGTCCCCTTTTTCTCAATTCATGGGATCAATTTCGAAAGCGACGCCGTAGTTAAAGGTTAGAAAGGTGAGTCTAGAAGTCTGGATGTCAATACCTAACGACAATAAGTAGAAATAACGTTTTGTGCGAGGTAGGTCACAATTCGGGTAGAGACTACTGGTATACGAGAATAGGTTATTGAGTTGACGATGGCAGGGCGGAGATAGGTAAATGGGAAGGCTACTTACCTTTTTCAGCCTATCTTTTTCGGCGTCGTCTAGGGGTCCGGCGCGATCGATATCTCTGTGGGACAGGCGTACGACAACAGAAAGGGGATAACCCCGCTGCAACAATTCCTTTGCCTGCTTTATTTCGATTTCCAACATGTGGTCATCAATCTGTGCACGTAGTCTAAGGTGCTTCGACTTGACGCCAGAGGCCGGGGCGGCTGGAACAGAGCCCGACGCCGGCGTTCCAATTTTGAAGACCGGAGTTGGAGTATCTTCAACCTAGATGGGTATGTGGATAATTCGTAAGTAGATAATTGGACTTGACGTCCACTTGGGGTCAGATACCGCCAGAGAATGATTATGGTTGTCAGACTTGTCGTCTTAAGAAACGGATTCACCAGTCTTTGAACTTTCTGTTGGTTATTTGAGTCCCTTCGGATATGACTAACTGTTGTGAAAAGGTACTCTGTTCGTGGATCATGAGCTCGAAGTAATTAAGTATAAAACATCAACCGGTTAGCAGGGAGGTGGTGACTGCTGGAGCCAGTTGGATAGAGCGTATTGTTGCTGAACACACCGAATTCAGGCAAAAGCGGTTATTGCATGAGGCGGACCGCTTGATGGCCGAATAACCGAATATACAGTACCAATAAACAGCATTATGCAAGCTGATAACAGTTTACCAATGAAGATTTCGAAACCATCTACTGTTATTTGAGAGTTCGACCCTACTTAAAGTAATGCCACCAGGTGGATATTAGGATGAAACAGGTATGCAATTAATTAACACTTACTAAGAGCAGAGAAAACCCCGTCTTTCGAATTAAAGACTTAAGTTTGTCACTTGGAATTTCGGCAAATTCGAAATCTGCGCCAGGAGAGATTAGACAGGAAAATTCCTTGGGAAGATCTTCAGTGAGCAGCCTAACAACTTTGTGCCGTGCAAGTAAACTGACAGCTGAGGATTCGCGCAGAATGTCATCCTCAGTAGGACTTCGAAGTCCTGATTTCCAATTCCGAGGAGTGGTAAGAGGTAAACAAGAGGAAGGTCGAAGCAAACTGGTGAAATTTCGAACTGAACGACAAGCCACTCGGGCTAGCATTATTGTTTCTTGAAGAACTACTAAAAGGCAAGTACGTGAGAAATGCAAAGACCTAAAAAAGAGGAAAACGATCTAGTTTGTGAAAGAGTTCCTCGGGATTTAAATAGAGTGCACACAGGTAAGCCAATAAATGCGAAAATTCTCCAC